GGAGGAAACGCTCATATTTTTGCTGGGTTTGAGTTGGGACCGCAGACCCGCCGGAGACCGGGAGGGGTTTGCTGGCGGTGGGCGCCCCGGGCCGGCGGGAGGGCACCTCGGCGGTGTGGGGCGGGTCCGCCTTGGCGTCCGAGCCGCAGTGCGCGCAGACAGGGCTGCTTCCCGGCCGGGCGCACCCAGTCCCTAAAGCACCGGAATGAGCACTGGTTGCAAAGAACGCAGCGTTACGTCCGGCCCTAGCCACACGATCCCGTGACCTTTTTGAACAGAAACGTCAATAAATTGGTCCACATGTGACCCTGTGTCTCATGGGGTGTGAGAGGAAATTTTACCATCTCGCTAGCTGCTTGTACTCAGACTTCCTCTGAAGGCTTTTATCTACAGCGGTTAGCCTGCAACCGTTGTGCCTTAACCACCCAAGTTACAACTCCACAGGAAACCATCCTCTCCCTCATCGTTAACTGTGGCCTCCTTCAGTATCCGTTAGTACCTTAATGAGAAGTTTAAGACTGCCAGAGTAAGCTGAATATTCTGACATGACTTTTGGACTAACAGGGACATAAATCTGCATTTAAAAAATTAGGATTTTCTCCCTTAGGTAACTCACACATTTAAAAAAATTCAGTATGAACAGTAAGTAGGAAAGCACTTGGCTATCGGAATGTAAAGTTTAACTTGAATACGAGTGACAGCAAACAAAAAGTTGTTTTTAGGTCAACAGGCTCTTGGGTTGAGGGAAATACTCTTATGAACCTCGTGGCGAAATCTAGGTATGTGTGTACTGGAGATGGAACCTAGGACCTTGGCCATGCCAAGCAAGCACTCGACAGTGCTATATGAAGAGCTCTATTTCCGGCAAAAACTTAACTTTTTAAAGACATAATTTAAACCCTCAATCATAATTACAACCAGTTAGTCTGTCTTTCTAGGTAGAGCTGGAGAGATGACTTAGGAGTTAAGAGCACTTACTGTTATTTTGGAGTACCTGGGTTCAGTTGTCCCCAGCACCCACATAACCATAAACCATATGCAACTTCAGTTCCAGGGTATCCAATGCCCTTTTCTGGCTCTGGTGAGTACCAGACACACAGGCAAAACTCTCATCCACGTAAGATAAAGCTCT